AATTTTACCACCTATTTTACGAGGTAAAAAAATTAGAAATTGCTGAAACATGACTTTTTTGCTTGTTTTTATCGCTCAATGCAAAATCTTGAAAATATATTGCGCTAGATTTTTGAAGATGTTACCACCAAATAGACCTCTTCCGTCAAAAGTGGCCATTGTAAAAACTAAGAATACCTACCGTTGCTTTTTTTTTCTCTCTGAGAATCTTTAGCCTAGACCTGCAGAATTACGTAATCACTCAGATTGATCTCTTTGGTTAAGGTAACAGCTTTTATCCGTCTCAGATATCTTTGGGAAAATATAAAACATACAAATTTTACAGCAATCTTGGTTTTGTAAATGTAAGTATTTAGTCTGACGGAGCCATTAGTTAAAAACTGTTTTTATGGCTTTAGACTTACTGAAATATTCGTAACTTACTGAACAACGCCTAGCTTAGGATTGCTTAGGATTTGAAATTTTGTCACGAAAATTCAAATCTCGTGAAGCTAAACTAGACCTGGAAATTTTTTCTGATGGAACGGCTTACCTGCTTTTCTGTTACTAAAAGCAGATATTCCAACTCACGACCTCCCTTTTAACGCTTTGAAAAAGACGACTGAGAGGCTTCCCTAGCTATCTACACTTGAAATCAACACCAATTGCAAATAATGCCTTTGAACCAAAAGGTAAATTTTTTAGAAATAACATATTGAGTAAAAGTAATGTTTTGACAGCCGGTTATCTGGAACGCATGCGTGGTAATATCTGCATTTCAATTATAAACAACTGGCTGTCAGTTAACCCATTCCCAGTAAAGGCAGGGTCCTTTGTTTTTTCGTTGCTGGTTCCCTTTGCTCCAAGAGGCTTTTCACTGGAGCCTTCTTGGATGAGCCTTTTATAAGGGCTTGGCATATTTCGTCTACCTCGAATCTCTCGGAGTAGTACTATACATTGCGATCACTGCGAGATCAGAGAATCGCTCTTTAGGCATTGTTGACCTAGAGCAGGTCTTGATTCATTTCATTAGTGAAAACGATCGCTCAGCTTCTCAGCTTCTGATCGGTTGGGTGCAGGCAATGACCAGAGGGCGATAGATGCCGTTGGAAAATCATCTTCGTTGCAAACACCAAGTGGAAGCTTCCTGTCTGTTGACCGCCAGAGTGTTTTCGATCTATGTACCTCATTTCCACTAAGGGATTTGAGAAATTGAATATCTTTCTCCCAGAACAGCATGCCTTCTACTTCATCATCCAGCTGCAGTGCCTTTTTCACTATAATCGATTGCACGAGACAAAGCAGATGGCGGGCGTGGCGATCTTTGTCAGAAAATCGATCTTGCATTTGGATGATTAAAGAGTCAAGAAGAGGAATAGCTACAGTCTTCTTGTAATGATCGATTGGACTGGAACTTATATTATAGCTTATAATACTATTTTGGGTATGAAAAAGGGTAGACATGGGCAGCCAGACAAGTCTGAAAACTTCCCAAAGAGGGGCTTGCAACCCCCTCTACCCTTCACCTGGATCCACCTCTGATCATTGAGAATGTATTGAACCAAGAGAGGGGAGAATATGAAAATTAAGGGGGTCAATTCTGACATAAAATTTAAGATGACATTTTATAGAATTATTCGTCGTGCAAAGAGGCATCAGAATCTGAAATTTTCGTGGAAAAAAATCTCGTTAAGTTAAGCCAGATAAAAAATCGTCTTTCTCTAAATTGCTTACCTGTTTTTCTTTTCAGACTTTTTTCTTCTTAGTTTCAGATCTGACTAAAAGTCTTCTCTTTTTAACGCCTGAAAAAGACAGGGCTTCTTATCTCAACTGGCAGCTTAACTTAAATGAAAACCACGTTAAGCTGTTTTCGTCATTAATGGAGCATAAACTAAGTAAACTTACGTTAGAAAGAAGTAATAATTACGATCTTTTAAGTCTTGTGCTAATACAGCTTTATTTATTAAAGGTTAATTTGTTGATAATGGTTAGGTAACGTATCGGACATTGATTTACACAAGTAACAATGAACATTTGAGCATGAGTCACGTTTCCACAGGCGGTTATATTGAAGTTATACACATAGAAGTTCTATGGAGATTTTTTCAACGACTTCCGTTCATTTCTCAAAGACTGTCTCTTTCTTTTGAAGTTTTTCTCCCCCTAATGCTCTCAGCATAGTTAATTGAGTGGAATGGTTATGAAACCCGTCAGATTCCTTTGTTATATGTTTTTGTGGACCTGAAAGTGCACAACGTTCAAAAGAATTCCTATCATTTTGATTGTATTGACCAATAAAAACGTTGCATTAATTTATTCCGTAACAATTTGCCAACAGAAAACAAAGGATTGTGCACTTTCACGGTACTTCCAACATAAACTGCAGCACTGTTGTTTTTATCATTGATGTTTGCCGCTTTTCATAACCAGTCTCCTCTAATAACTATGCTCTCAGAGGTTTTTCATCACAAACTCCGGGACGAGGGGAGAAACACTGGGTTCAAAGAAATTAATATCGGAAAAGTGACATCAAGCAAGAGAGAAAAAACAAGCCTGATTTCCTTGCGAGATTTACAAACCAATGCACTGATACATAGTAGAAGATTATCAGGCCATTATTCATAAATAGCAAAACAAAGGAGTCATAGCATGACTTTTCAAAACATGGAAAAATTTTAACAACCGCAACAAAATATGGCCCTAATTCTTATGCTTAGTGACGATCACGGAATAGTAACTCTCATTTACGTTTCTAATTGTCAAACCTACGTAAACAATTGCAAAACTTATCGAACGAAGGCATTCAAATTAATTTAGTTTGCTTTGTGTTTTAGCTGCAATTTTCTTTCTATTTTGTTTTCAAAATTTCAAAATTCCATGAAAGCTGTACCCTATTTTGATCGGGATTCTTTTAAGGTCCTCCCCCAAATAGCAGCAAATAGTGTTTTAAAAAGATAATAATAAGCAAAATAATCTCATTTGATTAACTAAGGATGGCGGATGTCAAGACAAAGAAAATTAGGGAATGAAATAACACTATGTTCAAAATCATACTCTACAAAGATCGTTACCTGTTTTTCTGCAAAGCTGATTTCAATTCATTAAGTAACGGGCTCACTCAAAATTGGTGAGGTAGGGGTTCAACGTGGGAGGATAATGGCAAAATATTGACTTGAACGCAATGCGGAGAGGTTAATTTTCTTAACAATTATTATTTTCAATCTCGGTGAATCTTGGCGTAACGTAATTGATTTTAGTATATTATGTACACACGAATTGATCTCAACGGAATCAGAAAGAAACCCATTAACAAGGATTAGCCTAATTAACGGTTCAATTCGTGCGAGAAAACATGTGCATGTGGCGGTAAATAGTGCATGCGCAGAAATTAGACTAGCCTGTGGGCAAGTTCTCCATTTGGGCGAGTCGCGAGAATTCCCAAGAGGGCCGCATGCGAAAAGAGACGCGAGGGTGAGGGGTGGGGAAACAGTTTCCCACTTTTCATTTTGGGCAAACTCGCGAACAGTCCAAAATGGCAAACACAACGAACGCGGTCTTTTTAGTATCGTAATATGTTTTCCTGGCGACCCCTTCTCAGCCTACTGGACCTACTGATTTGCATCGAGAAAGGCAAAAAGTCAATAGGTTTATATTCAGCAAAACAACAACTTTGCACGAGCATCACGCTTTTTTGCACATTTTCGATTATTTCTTAACCGTCGTTGCAAGACTGCGATATGAACGTTTCTAACTTCACGCTCCCACTTTATGGAGTAGATAAACACACTGAACACAAACATTTTCTTTTTCTTTTCCTTAACTTAGATACGGTCAGTTTCGGATTCAACCTAACAAAATTTCCGCAACATTTGACAAAATAAATGAAACAGTTTAAAACAGTGCGAATTTTTTTGTGAGATGAGTAGAAGCGTCGTAGCTGAAATGTCATTTTGACTATGATCTATTTACTGCTGTAACTATTTATTTCACGCTGGGTCTGGCCCAGGTTTATAATATTTCAGATCATTGTGTTGTGGCGATACTAGAATTATTAACGAGCGATTGTTAGAGATTTCTGAATCAGTCAAGGATGTGCCTGTATAATTGATTCACCACCTTTTGTCAGCGCTGGTTAAATTGAAATAAATAAGTCTGAGCGCGATGTCATTAAGCTATGTTGCTTTGCTTTCGCTGTACCGATTATTTTGTCCAGGTTTTGTTTATGTCACGTACTACCGTATTTTATAAAGCGAAACCAAAGGCCCACATCACATACATAGCTTAAGAAGCAATTGCTTCATAAAGAAATCAGCACTCAACGTCGCAGGAAACCTTGTTATGGTCGTGAAATTCACATTCCAAAGCGTATTTGGTAATTCTCTCCAAAATCCAAGACACTTCAGTGCGCGAGGTCGCGAGGAGTCACTCGAGCTGTATTCTATCCTTTGATCTGATTGGCCTACATCAAAACAAGAGGTTTTACGTCACGGAAATCGTTTTGCCGCTCGGGTTCGCAGACGCTATTTTTCGGAGGGAGAGAAGCGACGACTGGAAATGCGTCTGCGGTTCGCAGGCTACTCTGCAGCTAAAACAAACGCGAATTGTGTGAACAAGAAGAACCGAAATCACTGTGAATTTGGATCGTTAGTGCAGTTACAAACTAGATATACTGAGTTTCCCCAGGTCGCCGTACAGAACACTTAAAATAACTAATTAAAAAAGAAACGGTGGAAAATTTTCAATGCTTCTATGTTACCTTTATTTCAATGTGTTACTTGCATTAACTGTGCTACATTTGCATTTGTCTACCGATTGAAGCAAATGGAAAGGAGCTGCATTATATGCCTCCATTAACTGAACTTCTTCCTCAAATAAAAAGCGTTTAATCTTAGATTTCTCTCATTTGGTGCACACAGCGCAAGTCAACTCTCGACCTGAAACATATGGACCACACGGCAAATTTCCTCCACATGTGCATTTTTCGCTGAGTGCGAAGAAAGAATCTTTCAGAAACATACTTATTACAATCGGCCTTGAGAAATCTGAACACCGCCATTTTTGTTCTTTATCAACTCCTCGTTCTCGTCGCTGAAGCTACCACGATGGGAAGTTGAATTACTATTGTAATTCGCTCGCCTGCTTCCAGTTACGGCGCTATGCTATTTGTATAGGTAATAGCATGATTTGTAGTGATATTTGGCATAAATACCACAAGTGATATTTCGAAATTGTTATACGAAATTTCACGAGCCTTTAGGCGAGTGAAATTCATTACAACTTCACGCCGATTTAAGTGTGTACCCCAATTTTTGGGGTTATCAAGTATTCATATATTCAGGCTATTGTTCTTGCCATTGTCGATTACCTTCCGAAGAATCCACGAGCGGAATTCCTTTGATTTAGGTGCGATATGTCTCTTTTGTTTTGAATTTTGTTGCTTCATTGACTTTTTAATCCCCATTGTTACATGATGAGTATTAAATTTATCCATTAAAATACTCGGACTTGCCTGTTAAATTTGCTGCAGTCTGTGGGAACGCTTACAAGTCTTTTAAGCATGGCGGACAACTCTGGTTGCATAACATATTTTCGGTCACGCACCGTGTTACAAAGGAAACAAGCCTGATAAATTTGAAGTTGATTAAAGCTTTTAAATGCCTGGTCTCCAATAGTATTTTTTATTAAACACTCTCCTGCCTTGAAAATAATTTGGCGTTTAAAGAATTGCTGCGGAAGTTATTTATTAGAACGTTTTATTCATTCAGTAGCTCTGCAATCAAGAGCGAGCAACTCTTTTCAAAATGTAAACAACGCAAGCGGTGAATGCATTTAACGGGATGACACAGTTTTATTAGAGTGTAATTTCACTTTTTTGAACGTTTTCGCTTGCCTTTCAGTTTTCTTTTGTTGAACAAAACCTTGCGTTTCAGTTACGTGACTGCAGGGCCCGAAATAACCGCGTATTGTCAGTTCACCGATTTGCATGACAACTTGATTCGCGGAGTAGTCGAGTGAGACGGGAAACATCTAAAATCAAAACAAGAGCTGTAATCGACAGATCAAAACTTGCGGAGTTCATAATTCCTCGAAATAATTTTGTAGAAATGCTTGTATAGTTTCATTGCTCTGGAGAAATGAATAACTGCTATGATTGAATGAATGGATAACTCTCGGCCGGATTTTATTAAGCGATAGGCGAGAAAAAATGCTTCAGCGGCTTGCTCTGTACTTCGAAACCTCGGCAAGAAAAAAAATCCAATCGCGGCCCACAGTGGTCGAAATTTCTCGTTCAAGATCTCTTTTTGAAGCTCTCAAAATTTTCCTTTTTGAAAAATACGTGTCCAAGTCGAAGAAGTTTTGCGAAAGACTTAAATCCATAGACTTCTACCGCAATATGTGCGATAATTCTCTGCAGTTTTATTCACACACTTAGAACAAAAGGATACTTATAAAACTTCGCGGCCCTGGGCAGCTTAATTAAGCCATTGTTCAATTCCTTTGAATGCGCTTCTGAGTTTTCCGCCATAAAATCTCACCTTCTTTGAACCGAGTCAAAACGAACACTCTCGAAGGGAAAGTTCGGAGGAATAAGTTGAGCCTTCAGGGTACAAAATCCAGCGGTTATGCCCATTTCTGAAAGACACACTTAAATCGGCGTGAAGTTGTAATGTGAGACAATTTTGAAATATCACAAGTGGTATTTATGCCAAATATCACGTACAAATCATGCTATTATTTGTTTATACTACTACCCACAAAAGGATTGTAATTTTCACATGTAGGTATTTCAAATTAAGCTGAAATACCACTAGTTTAAGCCAATCAAATTGCAGAAATTTCTCATGTAGTAGTATAACAGGGGATAAATACATCCAAACCCAAGTCCCGTCCTGAGGCGCAATTCTCGCCGGGAAAATAAACCAACTCGCGAGTCGAAACTGTCGTGCTGGTCTCTCAATGCCAGGAGTGTGGCTAATAAGGGACGAGAACTGATCAGTCGGCTGATCTACAAACCATGTGACCTAGTAGCCATAACTGAAACATGCCTTGATCAGTTAATTGAGAGCTCCGAAATATCTACTAGTTCCTTTCAGGTTCATCGACGCGATCGCACAAGGCACAGAGGTGGAATTCTGCTCGCTTGTAACATTGAGCTGGGTTGTGTAATACGTTTGGATTTTGAGACGGACTGCGAAATATTTTGATGCGAAATCATTATCCCTTTCACAAGGATCAAAATTTCTAGTCGGTGTCTTTTATAGACCGCCATCATCTATAGTTATACCCACTTCTACTGTAATCATTACAGCTGTATGTGGTACTTAAAATTCAGCACCAACCCCTCTATTTTGAGCCTAATGAAACTTCTTGACAACCTTGAGAATTAATTACATATGACATTAAAGGTGATATATAATATCTTGATTTTCAAAGGCAACTTCGGTGATTGGCAACCTAAAATAATAGTCTTTAATAAAGCATGCCAAATAGAATCATTGAGAATCTAAATTCCTGCGAGCGAAAGAAGTAGACTCAAATCATGTCATAAACATACTGATCCAGCTCTGTATCATGGAAAATATCCCCCTTGACCACGGTCTACCCGGTCTGGCCGGGTTCCTTATGCAAGGGCAGCCTCAGATGTCTTCAGCTTTGGGCATACATGTATAATGGCTAGGAAAATTGCCAAAATAAGCAGGTCAAAATTATTATTGTACCTACCTGTATGAGCATGTATAAAGGACTGACGAACATTTGATATACTGCTGGGGGACCTAAAGAATGTTGTTACTATGGAACGCTGATTGTAAAAATCCCTTCATGAGACGACATGGGAATGACTCACATATTACTTTTCCTTAAAAACAATGTTCAAGTATTTTCGCGTTATCTTTCAGCTGATCTTTATTTGTATTACTTGCAAGTTACAGTTGCCTAGACGGCTACAGTCGCCTAGGCGGAAACATTTTAAAACGAGCTGATTACGTGTCAAAATGCTACCTGAACTACTTTTTTCAAATCATCACAGTTTATTTTTTTTAAATCATTTGTTGTTGATTGAAACACACTGTAGAAAGGACAGTCCTTAGATCCTTCACTTGGTGCACACAGCGCAAGTCAACTCTCGACCTTGAACATATGGACCACACGATAATGTGCCACAATGTCCCTCCACCGGGTACAACAATGCACCATTCAGGTTCGCTTTGCTGCCAGGGATATACTCAGCATCTTTGTCAACGCAGATGAAATCTTTCTGACCCTGGTGATTATAATGTTCAGTCATCAGGTACCCATGATACTCCTCGGTCCATTCACTGGGACAGTCGTTCCGTGCTGGTATCATTAGCATCGAACCACGTGACTCGACAAAGCAGACGGCACAAGGTGCGTCGTGATCATGGAGTTTTTCCACACCCATGCTGTACCCTGATTGCCTGCTTTGTATTTGCCGTACTTTGGAGTGCTTGGAAGGCAAAGATAGTTTGCTCCGCCTCCACGGTGAGTATAATGCCCTCCACCTATTCTACCTAATAGGAAGTCAGAGGTAAACATAATATGACCTATTATAAATGCAAATTTGACGTTTGAGAGATCATTTCTGGCTAAGCAATTAAAGGGTTCAAACAAGCTTTGCAGACGCTGTTCAAGTAACGAAAAAAGTACTATAATAATTGTTTACGTTAAAATGCATTAGAATCGGTTCGGAAGTGTCCTGACGCTGTGTTCATGCAGATGGCCTCCAGGCAGTTGATGCTAAGGGGAAAGGCCGGGCTATGGAAGAGGTCCTATGTAACCCTCCCTCACCAGTACAAGTGCCTCTGATCTTAAATCTCTCCCAAGACAAGTGTCGATTCAATCCATTGTTGACCATTTTAGAGCCAGTATACATGACTTTCTGACATGACTATGTTTGTTGAAAGTGGGATGAAAAACAGAAGGAAGTAATGCCGCTAGATCGTCAAATGTACATGCGCATTATGATCCTGCTGAAGAGTCTGTGGTTTCCTTTGATGCACAACCTATATTTTAGGGAAAGTCCATGCCCAAATTGGTCTCCTTTAGGGGTTTAATTCAAAATTTCCGACGAGCATCCCCGCCCCTTTCATATGGGAGTCCCCACCGGGGTCTTCATTTCAAGATATCTGAACAGATTTCACAAATCCCTTTCGAGGATGCTTAACCCAGAACAAGCCACGTCATTAATGGCGTCAACTGAGTAGGATGCAATGGATTCTGCTTTAAATTCGCTAGTGTACATGTGTCTGTATAAATAGGATTATAATCCCGGTACTGTAGTCGAAATGGCAATGCATATAGTCTTGGTCGCCTACCTCCCCGATGTTCTAAAAAGCATAAACGTTTCAGGGGACATTGCATCGAGCACCTCGTAAAGGCCATTAACATTGCGCAAGTGGATGCTATCTCTCAGGGAAAGTGAAGACAGCCAGCAATCTATATCCTCCCTCACGTCTTGCCATTAGTTCTTTAAGGATGGCCCAATGGACAGTTAAAGCGTCAGTGGTGTTCGTCTTATAGAGAGTAAAAAAAGGAGTGTGTGATAGCAGTGACTAACTCTCAGGGTTCGCTTTACCGATATGTTATAGAGGTATCCATTAAGAGAGAGTCGACTGTAATTCTAACCTGATCCAAGTTGACGCAGATCACAGCGACTTCTTTCATGTCATATAATTTTAGTCAAATAAATGAAAGTAAGTTATTCTTAAAATGATCTCTTCGATGCATATGACATACATTTTGACGTAATTTATTAAATGAATAAACAAATATCCACCCTTACCACTGTACACCGTCGTAGCATTTCCAGAGCAGTTGGTCCTTCCCCAGCGAACGTATTTCACCCCAGACAGTCCCTTTCCCTTCTCTCCTTGTGGTCCGGGGGGACCCTGGGGGCCAACACTTCCAGTTTCACCAACATCTCCTGGGGAACATAAAAAGGATGAATGGATCATATTCCACTCATTACATTACATATGAATCTACATGTACAGGACTTCATGGAAAGTACGCGAGTACGCTATTATGTTTACGCTGTGAGCTGTCATCTTGTTTGGCAAATCGACTATGGCATTTTTCACAGACCAATCATGGCGCGTACTTAAATCCTGATACACAGCTGGGGGCCCAGAACAAGGATTTCGGTGCTGTTTCGCAAACGGACTTAATCGGCAGAGTTTAGTTTTGTCAGCGGCGCAGGCTAGTGAGCGGAGCGAACGAGTGAGATTTCTAATAAAATAAAATAAAAAAACGAATAAAAAACAAACAAACAAACCAAAAAAAAAAAAACTAGTGCTTAAAAACTGTACAAAGTACTTTCCAATTTAATTGTTTACTAGACTTTCATGATTCACGTTCATGCCAGCCATTTATTTTAATCTTCCAAAGTGCTAAAATGATAAACTTTGCCGCTACACATTGATCGTTAAACGACTTTCCTTCGCCTTTCGAGAACTATTCATAAAGGTTATTAAGAGAGTAAGGGTGTGCGGTAATACAGGAGTCAAAAGTAATCTGAACTTGTTTATCTACTACAATTTGCCGGGGACAGATGAATGAATTCAGAGAAGGGGGGAAGGTCTAGTTAAAGCAGGTTTCTGTGAGAGGAAACTGAATGGTGGTAGGATCTTTGGCCGGCACTGTATTTCCCCACGAACTATTGTAAGCTAGATAGATAGATAGATAGATAGATAGATAGATAGATAGATAGATAGATAGATAGATAGATAGATAGATAGATAGATAGATAATCTTTATTTATCCACGGTACAAAATTCGTCAGCTTTAAAAATGCCTAATACTAATATAATAAAAATATTTAAATAAAAAAGCTGCTTTCCACGAATGCCGTGCCTTACAGTTCTTTGAGTAGTCGTTTAAATTGCCCAAGGGACTCTGCTTCCCTTAAGTTACAAGGAAGACTGTTCCAGAGAATGGCGCCACTATAGCTGAAGCTGTTTTTGTAATAGTTTGTGCGCGGTAATGGAACATTGAGTTTATTTTCAGAGTCCCTTAGGTTATATGCGACTTCTCGCCTTTCAAATTTAGAACTAAGATAGTTTGGAGCCAACCCGTGCAGAGACCTGTAAACCATCGTAGCTCTTTTGAAATTGTTGCTGGCAAGCTAGGTTTTTCCACCCTAGAAGTTTGAAAAGGTGACCAGCATCTACGTCATAGCTTGAGTAGGTCAAAACACGGGCTGCTCTGTTTTGTAGCTTTTGAACCTTATTCCGTAAGGTTATCCCACAGTTTCCCCAAACAATGTTGCAATAATCAAAGTGTGGCTGTATTAAAGCTTGATATATTAGTTGTAAGGTCGCCTGAGGGACAAGGTGCCTTATTCGTTTTATGGCCCCAATACCAGAAGCGACTTTCTTTGTTACTTTCTCGATATGGCCACTCCAATCAAGTCTGTCATCGATGGTCACTCCAAGTGATTTTGCAGTAGTCACCTGGCTAACTTCAAAATCATTAATTGCAAATGTCGGGGACTCTGTGAGAGTACTTAGCCTCTGCCTAGATCCGATAAGCATAAATTCGGTTTTAGTCATATTTAGAGTAAGTTTGTTTGCTCTCAGCCAATTGTGAACATTTTCTAAATCTTGATTTAGATGCAACTGAATATTGTCTGCATTATCACCTGCGTACGTAAGGTGGGTGTCATCAGCGTACATCCTCGGCTCACAATTTGAAAGACAGTTTGGAAGATCGTTGATGTATAACAGAAATAATAATGGACCTAAAATCATCCCCTGGGGAACACCACAACTTAATAAACAGCTTTGAGAGAGCGATCCGTTGATGGAGCACATTTGAGTACGATTCTCTATTTGTTATGTGCATCTCTATTTGTTATGTGCATGGTTCTACCCTTGCTACATTCCATGCCATATCAGATATTAAATAAGTTTCCCTATTACATCTACAGGATAGGAATATGGGACCTACAGCGTGCCAAGATTATATAAACTGATCATCATATAACAAGGTATTTTTGTGTCAGTTGCGCAGAGTAAACCTCATGCTCAACAACTTATGTTTGGCCAATAATTTATGGTGCACATAATTATGTTATACCTCGCGTAGCATATGCCCGGTTAATCTGCTCTAGGCAGCACAGATCATACCTTTTGGTCCCGGGAGTCCTCGAAGTCCCCGGGGACCCACTCTTCCATCTCTACCGTCCCTACCTGAAGAAAAATAGAACTATGCTAAAACTAAGGAAAAACTTGCAACAAAAACGAGCAACTTGTTTTTCAATATTTCTACAAATCGAGTTGCAAAGCTATGTTGCGCAATTACCTCCTACGTTCAAACCTGTCTTGCAACAAATCAGGCTGATTCGTGGGTGGTAATCTCTTCCTCCAAGAATCCCCTAAGAAGACCGGATAGTAGATTTAATTCTTGTTTTAAGACAAAGTGGCTTCTGACACTTTTTGTAGAATCACTGCACGAAAAATTAGTTTTACCCCAAATTTTCTCAGGGCATTAATAAGATGCAAAAAAGAAGAAATTAAGGGTAAACATGGTAAATATCGCGTGTGCCAATGAATTGATATACAACCCGATGTAGACTAGCATGCCAATGCGGTATTTACCATCTTTGCCACTGATTTCCTCCCAGTTTGTACTTTTTTGCATCATAATTGCGGCGAAAAATTACTACCCTAAGATTTTTAGTACATCCAATAATGCAGCAGATTAATAATTGTTTTCAAAAACTGGAAGACTGATTAAACGTATGCAATCTGCAGCCAACTCACCCGCAGGGCCTGGTTTCCCAGGTGGACCGGGGGGTCCTGGTAACCCATCTCTACCATCTCGACCTGAAATTCAAGCGGCACAACTTACAGGGGTGTGTTAATTGTCAAGTGAGTATATATTCACCCTTTTAGGTGTGCAGTGGCAGATCCAGGTCATCCAGACGTTTTGTTTCCTATGTCTTTAATCAGTATTAAATCTATTGTTATTTCCTTTTTTAAATCCCTTTTTAGGGGAGAGGCGACTGAGGTATTAATGCAGCATTCAAACCTTAATAAAAGGAGAACTGCCACTTGTACGGGGATAGAGTTTGGATGTCACCCTCTTCTACCTAGTCCATAACCCCATACATTAACTCCGGGAACGCGTCCTGTTCGTATTCATGAATTTTTTTCCCTTTAAAATTGAAGAGACTTCGCACTTTGACAACATTTGTTGAACAGAAACTAAGTCTCTGAGTCAAGAAACTTAGAAATTTCATGTAAGTGTAAGTGAAAAGGGAGAAGGCGGTTTGAGATATGGAAACAAGGGCTTACTTTAACAACGTAGTCGAGCCCGCAACGTTAAAAAAGCGACTGCTAGACAGGCGCCAAAAAAGGGCCCAATTTTCAATAATTATGACATTTCGCAATCCATGCCATTCCTCACTGCCCTTGAATGACGAGTCTTACAAGGTTGATGTTTGGTCGCGCACATGTAAGTAATTAATGAGAGACCATTCCGTGATATTTGGATTGCTCGTTTAGCTATCGTATCAAAGCTAAGAGTCCTTTTCGCAAACACTACATTAATCTTGTTTTTATATTGGGTCCATATTGCTTAATAAGGATTCCCGACCGCAAAATATACTCACGAAATGCAGCGTAACTACAGTTCTTGAAAAACTAGATCAGATTTGTGAGAATACTCGTGAATCTTGACAACCAGCGGACAGGTGTTTCGTTGGAGGCATTAGCGTTTCATCAGAAATCTTTTTGCGTCCCATACGCAATCAGTAACATCGCTGAGTGTATATTACACGAGGCGTTCCGACAACAAACATTCAAAAAATACATTCCAGTTACTTGTGAAACGTGCTACTTTTCACAACTTTTTACAAGTACGATTGGGACACCAAAATATTTTAATGGATTGTTCATTTCCGTCCATATCTGTTTTATTTACCTAAAATACCGCACTTTGTTAAACGAAATATACGCAAGGATATTTTTACATTTTACAGTTAAAGCACTGACCTCTTAGTAGTCTTGAGAGACAATTTTTGCCAACATTCCTGTTGCTGTTGTGGCCACGTAAACTATATGAAGAAGACAACCGCAAACACTTTAAAACAGGAAAATAATTATAGGACCAATTTAGTTAATATCATTTAGAACACAGCTACAAAAATTAACTAAACGGTTAGCTTCAGTCTTTCTGGAGCGTTAACTGTCCTTCTTTATGCTCATCGCAATGAGTGTCTCAAATAATCTAAACCTCGTCTATTAATATGATTTTTGTTATTTAGCTTGATTTTATCAATTTTTACAGACTGAAGTAAGCGGGGTGATCTATGTCGAAGCATTTTCATTTTCTTTTATATTGATGGGCTGCATACTTCCACCAGCTTCCCAGGCCGCACTATGAAAGCAGATGCTAGTTTCCGTCCATGCAGTATCGAAAGCCAACACAGGCTATGCGAATAATCTGTCGCATGCAGGTTACGATTATGCATACCTGTCTTCCAACAGCATTACGCGCTCAGCCAAACCTCGCAGATCAGCGAACCTTTCTTCAGCTACGGACCTTTTTTCCCGCATGACTTCGTTTTCATCCGAAATCGCCTGCTTACTAGCAATCAGTTTAGAAGATCTTTCAACCGCGATCACCTCCTCAAGTTGTTTCAAATTGTCAATGCGGCTATTTAACTGCATGAACTTGTGGTAGTTGTAAAGGTAAACAGAGACCTGAGAGGCGATACATGCTATCAAGCATGTCGCGATGGTTATATTCAGTAAAAAACGAAAACGCTTTGACTTGGAAAGCTTTGCCTGGCAAATCACTTTTGCTTCATTTTCCATCTTCCGAAACTATAAGGAGGTATTTCGCCAGGAGCGCACGAAATGGTGCCTATAAAGCAGACTGAAACAAATGGATTAGTTACAAGGCTTTTGAAAACTTTTATGTGTTGATACACGTGACAGAGTGCACGATGTACAGGGTGTGGTTAAGTGTCATCATTCCTTTTTCTAAGACTATTTGTTGTTATTTGAGGCGAAGAATTTTGTTACTTCTACTCTTTGTATTCTTTACTTCTTTTTCGTATCGCGAGTTTTTAGAGCATGCTTAACTTGTGTTAAACTGTTCCCAGCTCGCTACGGGTCAAGAGAACAAAGACTGTACAATCAACATTTCTCCCAACAAGAACGCCTGCATTCGCACGTCTTGTCCTAAACTGCGCGACGCAATATAGTAAAATTTGTAAACTTCGCAATACACGCAATCATTGTCAACTCGCTCGATATAACTTTGTAAACAACTTGATGATCTTGTGACCATAACTTGTCAAACGATTTGTTTGGACAGCGATTGACCTTCCGGAAACGCATACCGCACATGTCCATCAATCAAACGTGCACGTCTGTCAATGCTAACGCATTACTTACTTCAGTCTGAGAATAATTTAAACGCTTTCCCTGTATGACTATTTCTTGCATTTTTAGCAACTTCGCAGGCCTTTTTTTTTTTTTTTCACTTTGAAAATGCCAGCCAAGAAAGTTTTAACGAGTGTAAGGTTAGCAGATGCTTCAAGAAGATACTGGCCTTACCTTTCAAGAATCTCCTATAGGTCTAAGTGATAGAGCATCTGGACTAGTAACCAGAAGATCATAGGTTAGACTAGCACTCTGATTAATTCTTCCGAGCCACCCGTGTCATTGAATGAATAAACATCTTTAAATCAACACCATCACATTCAGTCTATCATTGCGTGTAAGCACACATCGACATTCTAGTCCTAGCAGTACATGTATGCAGGATGTCTGTCACATGAACCTACGTTTAGTGGCCTTAGCTCCCAAGAATCAGCTCCCCTAGCTTAGTGGTAACCAGAGGATTTGGACTAATAACCAGAGGGTCATAGGTTTGATTACTATTGGGAGTGCTAGATTTTTTTTCCTGCGATTCACCTAGGTCATTGACTGATAATTTTCTTTAAAAGTAATTTCCGAGGTCCATACAAAGTAAAGGTACGTAGAGTTCCTTATTTTACGCCGATGACCCGTAACAAATTATAGAGACCTTAATTAAGATCGAGGTTTCCGAGGACCATACAAAGTAAAGGTACGTAGAGTTCCTTATTTTACGCCGATGACCCGTAACAAATTATAGAGACCTTAATTAAGATCGAGGTTTCCGAGGACCATACAAAGTAAAGGTACATATAGTTCCTTATTTTACGCCGATGACTCGTAATAATATAGAGACCTTAATTAAGATCCAGGTTTGGTCACTTTACTGCAGCCGTCAAACCGCGGTTTGCGGTTAACGGTTTTACGTTACCCGTTTGCCCATATTTGGCACTTAAGTTTCGCAGCTCGCGGTTGCCATGTTTGTTTTCATTCAACCACTTACTTCTATTTTAGCTGAGAAATTGTCTTCAACATTACGTTTTTTGAAACAAAAGTTGATAAACCATAAGCAAAAGTCGTATTTCTTCTCAAACATGGGATTGTGATGTTTTAGGATACAAAAAACCTTGCGGTAAATCACTTACCTCTGGAGCGTGGTCTAGCCGTACAAACGTGAACATAAAACCGCAATCCTGACTTATTGACGTTCGCAGTTCGCCGGAAATGGCAAAAAACCTCAATCTTAAGGTCTCTAATAATCGCACTGGAAAGTCTGAGGCCTACGGTGCACTCATACATTTTATTAAATAGACACGAGTGTTTTGCTGGAAAATATATCACTCGTAAAATTCATAAAAACTACATCCGGGACCCAAGTGGTTTATTTTCTATAATCTCACACGTGAGTTTATCGATGACGTAATTTCGGTAATTTCCCTTTATTATTTATCGATGTCTTTTTGTCTACATAATAACAAGAACATTGCACGGCGGCTTGAGGGTATGAATTATATTTTCTCGAGGCAAAAGCAATACTTTACGAAGGAGCGCTTGTTTTGCCACTCAAAAACAAAATTCATACTTCGCGCCACCGTGTAAAATCCTCTATTTACACTCCATGCTCCATAAATCAGCGTTCCATTTTACGGATATTTATATACAAGGAACGGGAAAATATCTGAGCCCGCTGATACTCAGGCTAAGGAACGGAAAGAAGTCGAAACGAGCATCGGAGGTCACACCTGGAAATGAACTCGGAACCTTAGGTAAAGAAGGCCGAGCCCTAGTCAATTGTGCTGATACTGTTTATTCAGGCCATGCGAACCAAGATGACAATCTCTAATAATTAAGTTATGTAATCCAAGACTGATGATGGCTTTATGCAATTCTTTGCTCGGGTTTTAAAGTCATCGTCGATGGCATCCATGGCATGCAAACTGAGCCGGTGCAGCAGAAGTCAGTTTTGGATAAAAGCTCTGGAATAAGACGGGGGTGCTAATTAAGCCACTGTCCCAAAGCCCAAAATAAAACAATAGTGTACCACTACCTAATCAAATAGTAAATTTCAGGAGGGCTCAGTTTCTGAATAATTTCCTACTTAGTTTGGGATAATACGGCTGAGTGAACTCTGTACTAGCCTATCATTTGGCAAGGGAGACTTAGAATTGATATCATATATGTTGTAAGGAAACAGCAAGTTCATGATTAAAAAAGACAATGAAAAGTTCAGCTAATGCTTTCACTTTTACTTTATTATTTTGAACTACTTGCAAGCTTCATTTGTACGTGTCTACAAACTAATACAATTGAAAATGAGCTGCATTATGTGTGTAGACTATCGGAAACACTTCTAATCAACAGCCTTTTTTCTTAATGCTTGTTCGTTAAGCATGATGCAGAAATGCCCAGTCTTTCTTTCACCTGGTACACACAGCGCAAGTCAACTCTCGACCTGAAACATATGGACCACACGGCAAATGGCTTCCACACGTCCCTTCAACAAAGTAGAGCAAGGCACCATTCGTGTTCGCCTGGGTTCCAGGGACGTACTCCGCGTTTCTGTCAATACAGACGAATTCTTTTTGACTCTTGTGGGTGTAATGTTCAGTCATCAGGTACCCATGATACTCCTGGGTCCATCCGGATGGACAATCATTCCGTGCGGGCATCATTAGCATTGAGCCACGTGACTCGACATAGCAGACGGCACAAGCTGCGTTGTGGTCTTGGAGGGTTTTGTCAAAAGGGTTGAACGACAGTTGGTACTCAGTGCCATACATCAATCCTCCGTGCTGAACGCCATCTTTGTACTGATCGTACTTTGGAACCTTTGGAAGGCAAAGATAATTCGCTGCGCCTCCAGAGTGAGTGTAATGCTCTCCACCCATGATTCCTAATTAGAAGTAAAAAATAACCATGATTTCAGAACTAAATTCTCCTTAAAAATTATTTGCGTGGGAATTCGATTTTCACTAGATTATAACTGATTGAGCAAAGGTAGCAAAAGATGTCTGGTAAGTTAATTAACTACAAGAGAAAACATGGAGACATGCAAAACGTAATTTAGATTACTTGGTGCGCGTTCACGGAGAACACATCAGTTTTAAATCCGTTATATAAGCAAACAGAATCGAACTAGCCGATAAAAGCAGTTTATTTATTCATCTAAAACAGCCGGTGATGGCCCCCCAAAAAATGGAATTGAACTCCTCCGCCTTTACAATATATCATGCTCACGCTCTATTGGGTCCAGGTCCTCCAAACTAAAAAGATACTATTCTAAAACAGACTGCCAAATAAATACTAATGTAATCTTAATAAATAATTATATGCATGTCATACAGAATTTCTTACCACTGCCCTATATAGAAACAGATATCAATTTTAAATTAGTAAATCACGCTCGTAAACCAGACATCAAACAAAATTGCTACCTTAGGTATGATAAACTAGTTCGATGAATTAATTAGATTGAAGCTATAGATGAGTAGACGATTAAATATGCAGTCGTCCACCCTTACCACTGTACACCGTCGTAGCATCTCCAGAGCAGTTCGTTTTTCCCCAGCGAACGTATTTCACCCCAGACAGTCCCTTCCCCTTCTCTCCTTTTGGTCCGGGGGGACCCTGAGGGCCAATAGCTCCAGTGCTACCTACTGGTCCTAATAAACACGAAAAAGATGAATAGTTCTTATGCCTAAATCGGGGAGCCAAAATATGAATCTGAGTTACGAACCTTAAGGGATATTTCATAAATATGCATTTCACAGCGTTGATAGCTGGAGGCAAGACAATACTTGAGTAGAATCATTTTAACGCAAAATTAGTTGAGAAAATAATTCATAATTGAAATATATTGGTTTTTCTTTACGAAGATAAACCTTATGAAGAGTGTTGAAAATATGGTTTTCGTTAGAGTTTCTAAAGATTTTCTGAGGGAGCCTGTCACAAGACTTTCCCCGTCAACCAGAAGTGAAGACTTTCCCCTTGTAATACGCCTTGACGCTATAAAATGTGTATTGCTTACTAGTTTCTTTATACTTGTAGAGACAATTGAACTGAAAATTTGGAAAAAACCAGTGCTCAGGAATATAAAATGTGCACTTCCGGTGAACGTGGGTGGCTCAAAAAAGCCTTTGCTTAAGTTCCCTACTAGCTCTGTATAACAACTGATCATACCTTTTGGTCCCGCGCGTCCTCGAGGTCCCTCAGGACCCTCTCTTCCGTCTCTACCGTCCCTTCCTGGAGGAGAAAAGACTCTTGAAGGGTTATTCAGCAGCGAGATATGGTCAAATCCGTTTTGTACACGTGATCGCCTGTGAAGAATGTGACAGGCGATGAAAGAGCGCATGGTCGACTTATAAATCCGATTATAACTCCTCAAAGTCAGGACCGTTTTTCGACGTGTTAAACAACGAATATGATACAGCCGTGACGTTTTCTCTTACAGAACGTGGTAGAAAGCACATCTTAAGTATGAACTAACTAATTTGTTGTTGCAGTTTTTGGTCTATGTAACATCAAATTCAACGCGACAGTCATATGGATCGAGTTGGAAACACATTATTATTATTACTTATTATTACTAGAACTGGCAAAGCTAATTAATCAACCGTTCAATCTGCAATTGAAAAGTAAACTAACCGGCAGGGCCTGATTTCCCAGGTGGACCGGGAGGTCCAGGTAATCCATCTCTTCCATCTCGACCTGAAAATTCAAGCGAAACAAGTATTCAACCTTAGATGCATACAAAGAGACGGATCTAGACCTCACTGCTCAAGGTTTCTGCTCAACAAATTAAGACAAGCACAATGCGTTTGCAGACAACTGCTCTTTAAAGGCGCTGTTTCACCCTATTTGCTATCTCTTTAAAAGCTAGTAGAACGTTTTTCGCAACTATTGAAATCTAAAAATAATGGTCCTGGTTTGTTAATTAAGACTACATTTAGGCATTGAAACTGTTTCGTGTCATTTTTCGGTGCGGATGATAAGGATGGACATGCATGGGCTAATTGACAATTATTCCACGAGTGCGTTTTGGATATGAGAAGGTGGATAGCCAACGAGGCGCGTAGCACAGAGTTGGCTGTAATCATCTCATATCCAACAATCGCGAGTGGAATAATTATTTTATTAAAAACCCCCCACAAATAAAATATCGAGAATTCTTCCAGACTTTATTTGTAAAAACAACGGATTTTCAGCTTAGTTTTCATTTTGAGCAGACGCGTAGAGTTAGTGCAAAGAAGTCCGTGATCAGTTGTTAGAAAACCTTGATTTTCCCATACATTTTCAATTCTGTAATTCGACAGTATCAAAATTACAGAAAATGTATCGGGAAAATCAAGGTTATCTAAAATTGATCACTGACTTCTTTGCACTCCAGATTTAGTGTATTGCTTCAGTTGAACACGTAAGTTGTTCTTTTCAAAGAGAAAGCATCAATATATGAATTCAGGAACAATTAGCTGGCTTTGAATTCCAATACAAATCTTTGAGTTTTCCGCCATCTTACCCTGATTACCCATGATGCAACCATGAGCGTGAACTCCTCTATTCAAGAGAAAGAAAACTGGCAGTGTTTTTCCCGCCTTCTGTCACGCCACTTTCCACCATGCTTTGATCAGGTGCTGTAATGTATCCCGAGCGGGGTACATTGCCTAATATATCACGATCGGGATACATTTGATTTTAGTCAAGGCCATGTGACCAAGAATCAGCCAATGGCTGTCCCTATTTAGTCGAGTGAAAGTCTAGGAATATAACAATGGCTCATATACCATGATAGCTAAGCCAATCAGAGCTCTAGAATTGCATTATCCAATGATTCAGTTTTTAATAAAACAGCAATATCCGCGTTATGTATAGCCCCTTTAATACTAAATATGGCAGCACAAGATGCGAAAAAAAAACAACAGCAACAAAAAGATGTAACTGTTGGGGAATCATGACAGCCTAGCAAAACCGTTTAAGCCTTGGGGCTTTGACCGAGCGACCACTAGATATTCACAGATAACTCCCTACCCAAGTGAAGCATGGAATCCCTTTCCCATGTGCAGGTTATAATAACAGTGAGGGCGGGCTTACCCTTTACGTATACCTTACTCAGCAGAAACCTTTGCGTACTGTCAACTACAATACCAGCAATTTATACGGTGCAATA